AATTTGAATGAAAAGGAAAAAAAGGGAAGTTTTGTTTTGCTTAGGTGGGTTTTCCAAAAATTGGAATCAGGAATCTGGTTTAGAAATTTAGTCCAATACTTTAATTTTTTTTCATACCTAGTTTAAATCAATTCATATTTATATCCTTGCATATAGATACTATAAAAAATGCCCACAAAAGACAATTACATTAAATCAAGACTTGACAAAAAGTATATTTTATTTGAACTTAGAGTTTCCTTTATTTCTAAGAAATTTAAAAATTCATTCAATGGGAAATTTTCTCCATTTATGTGGTAGAAATAATTACTCACTGGTAAGGTCTGTCAGTAATTGTTGTTCAGTCACTAATTCGTGTCTGACTTTGTGACTCAATGGAATGTAGCATGCCAGGATTCCCTGTCCTTCACTCTCCCAGAGTTTGCTCAAACTCATGTACATTGAGTTGGTGATGCCATCCAACCATCTCCTCCTCTGTCACCCCCTTCTCCTGCCCTCAGTTTTTCCAGCATCATGGTCTTGTCCACTGAGTCAGCTCTTCGCATCAGGTGGCCAAGTATTGGAGCTTCAGTTTCAGTATCAGGCCTTACAGGGAATATTCAGATTGATTTCCTTTAGGATTGACTGGTATGATCTCCTTGCTGTCCAAGGGACTCAAGAGTCTTCTGCAGCACCACAATTCTGATCCATCAATTCGTCAGCACTCAGCCACCTTTATGGTCCAACTCTCATATCTGTACATGATTAGTGTAAAACCAAAGCTTTGTCTAGATGGACCTTTGTCAGCAAAGCAATATCCCACATTTTTTAAATATGTTATCTATGTTTATCATAGCCTTTTTTCCAAGAAGGAAGTGTCTTTTACTTTTGCAGCTGCAGCAAAATCCACAGTGATTTTGTAGCCCAAGAATATAAAATCTGTTACCATTTCCACATTTTCCCCATCTATTTGCCATGAAGTATTGGAACTGGATGCCATGATTTTAGTTTACTGAATGTTGAGTTTTATTGCTTTTTCACTCTCCTCTTTCACCCTCATCAAGATGCTCTTTAGTTCCTCTTTGCTTTCTGCCATTGGAGATACTGCCATATGCAGTATCATCTGCATATCTGAAGTTGTTATTTCTCACAGAATCTTGATTCCAGCATGTGAGTTATCCAGCCTGGCATTTCACATGTTGTACTCAGCATATAATTTAAATAAGTTGGGTGACAATTTGCAGCTTTGATGTACTCCCTTCCCAATATGGAACCAGTCGATTGTTCCATATCCAGTTCTAACTGTTGCTTCTTGACTTGCAACCAGGTTTCTCAGAAGGGAGGTAAGGTGGTCTGATATTCTTATCTCTTTAAAAATGTTCCACAATTTGTTAAGATTCACACAGTCAAAGTTAGTAGCTAGTAAGTCAATTAAGTGATTTGCTGCCTCAGTTTCCTGACCTATGCATGTGAGTCTATACCACAATCTCTTCCAGCTCTAAAGTTATACTATTCTATCAATCATAGGTTTAAATCAACTTCCATTGCAAATTAACAAGAAAGACTCTGCAACTCTGGTTCTAAGCAATTGATTACTGTGTATTAATATTTTCAATATCTTAAATTCTTTAATTATAAAAGTTTAATCTGTTTTAATTTTCACTGAGACTTCTGTGTTTTTTTTGGAAGGATTATTTTAGTTCTGCCTTTGGTTTGGGTTGCTACTAGGTTTTAGCAGTATTTTTGCCTAAATCAAAAAAGATTTAAAGAAGTAAATCAACAATTAAAATTCTCAGTTTTCAGTTTAACAGCAATATATCATTTAAAAGCTAATGCTTGAAATACCTTAGTGAGCATAATATTTCTTCTTAAAGGACTTACACAAAAAAAGATTTTATATTTTGATATGTTATTTCCTACCAGTCTGTCTTGATTGAGTGTTTTTAAGTTGGTTAAAATTTTCCTAAGGAAAATGAAGACAATTCAGTAAAAAATTTAATGCAATTTCAGTCTTAAGAATTAGGATGTGTTTATTTGTTTATCTTTACTAAAATTGGCAAACACTTTATATAAACACTTAGGTATTTACCCATGATTAAGTGAAATTGTTACTCAACATGAAAAAATGTGTTACTCAGCAGATTTCCTTTACTCTGAATGCATTCATTATTTCATTCTTTTTCATAACTGTATATTGCAAACACTTGCCCTGATGACTCAGCAGGTGGGTAAAGAATTCGCCTGCAGTGCAGGAGATACAGGAGACTCGGGTACCGTTTCTGGGTCGGGATGATCTCCTGGAGGAGGACGTGGCAACCCACCTCAGTATTCCTGCCTGGAGAATTCCTTGGACAGAGGAGCCTGGCAGGCTACAGTCTAAAGGGTCACAAAGAATCAGACACGACTGAATGACTAACACTTGCATATATTAGAAACATGTACCATGTTATGTATAATAAAACTACAAGCCGTTTCTACAAGTATTTTAAAATGGAGTGGAATGGAAAGTCATATGTACTAATAGCTTAAAAAAAAGCTCATATGAGATATTTAAGTCAGTCAATAACTATTTACTAAATTTACATATCATGTGCTAGAGGGCCAATGAGGAAAAACAGCCCTGATTCTTATTGCGCTTTGAGGCTTATAGTTTAGTGGTATAAGTAATTGCCATAGAAGAGTTAAGCAGTGTGGAGAGAGAGAGGTGTTAGCCAAAAGGCATATGAGGAAGATGTGCCCTAAGACGGGTTTTTCCCCGAATGTGCCATTTGAGCTAATATTTCAAGGGTACTGGGTAAGAGTTTTAAAGGCTCAGGTAGGGTGTTATAGCATGAAAACAACAAAGCCTATTTGTCCAGGGGATCTTCCCGACCCAGGGATTGAACTTATGTCATGTGCAGTGCAGGCAGATTCTTTACCATCTGAGACACCAGGGAAGCCCTATAGTAGGAAAAGAGTAAAGCATATTTGTTAATTGTCAAGTTGTTCAGTTTCACAAAAATGAAACATTTTCAAAGGAAGTGGGAGACCTTCTTTCCTTCAAGATGGAAAAACAAAGAAGTTGTTTTAAAACAACTCCTCAACCCTACCCCCCTCAAAAAAAAAAACAAAAAAAAAAAAAACAAAAAAAACAACTTTCATCAGGCAGCAAAGCACAGTAATCCTCGAGTGACAGGAAACAAATGAGATGAGTGCTATGACTGCCTCATCTTACTGCCCAAAGATATTTTTTCAGTGGGCACAAGAAGAAGGACCCCTGAGTTTTAAAGACAGATTGGACGGAAGAGGACAAAGCAGAACTTTATGAGACAGAGTACAAGAGAGGACACACATTCACAGAGATCTTTGGAGACCTAGGAGAAAAACTGATTAAGCCAAGACCAAACTGTCCAAGTGAAATAAAGAACTACTTCTAAAGATGAGATATAACAGTATCTGGTACTGACACGAGGACAGGAATATTACTTATTACTGACTCAAATCAATAACTGGAAAATATTTTGCTATGGCAGATTTGGCTGATTGTTCTAATAATGCTTATTTGAACAACCTTTGAGTCATAGTTTGTCCTTACCTTTCAAGAGACAAAAATCACACAGTATTTCAACAGCCTTGTCATCACACACAGTTTTGAAGCAAGATATTAACTATTAATACAACCAACTTTCTCCAGAATCACAAATATGACATGGCATTACTTTGATGGCATCCTCCCATGAATAGATTGTTTTCAGTCATTTATTCAGGAAGTACAAATACTCACAAAGGAGCTAAAGAAAAAAACTGGCAGGGGATGGAGCATTGACCCACACACAGTACAAGGTCTATCTTATATATTTCTGGAAATTATTAGATCAGCTGAGTGGATCTACTACTGACACCATCAAGAACTACTGACCTTCTCAGCACCAACATCTTTTTGAATCCTGGAAGCAGCATGCTCCTCATCTACAAATTTTACTTATGCCCATTTATTTTGATATTCACAAACTATTTTTAATGAAGGCCTCTATTTCAAAAGTATAATCTGTTCAAATTTCAATACATAAGAAACTCCATTAGTGTCCTGAGAGCCTACTTCATTCAAAGACTTTAGGAACTTCTCATAACTCCTTGAGTGAGTCTCTGAACACAAAAAAAATAGCTCTTCTTTCAGAAATTTCATGATTTATATGATGCTGCTGCAATTCCTCTTAATTAATATAAAAGCCATGATTTTCCAATGGATAGATTATTGTTGGTTAGGTAAATTCTATTTTTTTCCATAGGTAAGCATTAATTTATATATAGGAATTTTAAGTACATTAAAAAATCCATCAAGAGGGTAATTTCTTTATGATGCTGAATCACTAGAACGCCATAAGTTTTTTACATCTCAAGAGGGCAAATCTGCCACTAAGACTTCCCTAAACAGTGCAAGAACCCATAAATAATCAGTCTGCTTTTTAAAAAACCAAGTTAACAATTAATATGTGTGAGATGGGCAAAAGAAAATTTCAATTTTTAGTCTTGAATGTTATATATTTAGTCTTGATTATAGGGGATAATTCATCTCTATTTTTAATATACTGTAAAATTATATTTAATAACACTGATTTTCTGTGATCCCTCTTTTCTCTGCCTATATAATACCTGGGAAGCTGAAATCTTAAACTCACTAGTATACACACAACCATAATACTACTACCATTTTTAATGTGAAAGTGAAAGAGTTAGTGGCTCAGTCGTGTCTGACTCTTTGCGACTCTATGGACTAGAGCCCACTAGGCTCCTCTGTCCATGGAATTCTTCAGGCAAGAATACTGGAGTGGGTTGCCATTCCCTTCTCCTTGGGATCTTCCCAACCCAGAGATTGAACCCAGGTCTCCTGCATTGCAGGCAGATTCCTTATGGTCTGAACCACCTATAAATATTCAAACTCTTGCCTGATTAATTATAATACAAAACACAGACATACATGTTTATACAACTACCTTTCATACGTCTAGTGATATATCAAAAAATATTGAAAATAAACTTACTTGTACAGTTAGGCAAAGTTCCAGACCACGTTCCATTGGCTGTGCACTGCCTAACTGAAGGTCCAGAAAGAATATATCCCTCCACGCAGGAATAAATGACTGAACTAGAAAATGTTGTGCCATCAATCCGAAAGACTTTTCCATTGGCTGTTGTCCCAGGGTTACCACACTGTACAGCTATAAAACAAAGTGGTCAAGAGTATATATAAAAATAGTGCATTCAGGAATCCTCTCATCAACAATTAAGGAATAAGTGATTGTTTCAAATTATCCAAGAAGCTATAAAAATCCTCTAAGGATTGAAGTCTGTTTTATAAGGAGTTAAAATTCAAGATGAATTTATATTAATTTTATTAGTTTACTTACTGGGATACAAATCATAGAATAGCTTTTTTTTAATGATTTTTGTTAGTCATTTTGGTAAAAACTTTGCACGTAAGTACTTTAGTATTGTTTATGGGTAATACAAAATCTTTCAAAGAAGGATTTTAAGAGTCTCTGCCTAAAAAGTTACTCATGTAAAAATTGGAAGATATGTAATGAGAAGCAACAAAGATTTACTACAATTATATCTGTTAGAAAACAAATATAAAATATACACTTAAATATAATAAGCATCCTGTTTGTTTTTATATAACTGGCTTGCATTAAAACTTTATAATCTCTATTTCTGGACCAAAGTGTACAAAAATAAACTGAATAAAACAAAGTAAGAATGACTTCATTAAGTTTTTAATGCATCCTAAATAGCAGTTACAAACATAAACGCCTTATATAACTATTCCATATTATGTTTAACTACTTGCCATCAACGTCAAAAGTGAATTTTTTAAATATATTAAAAAAGAAGCCTATGTCAATCACAATATCTAATTTTGTTGTAGTATAAGAAAACTTCTTAAGACTACAAGTTTTAAGGCTATTTGTATGAATATGAAGTATAATTATAATTTCAGAAAGTACTACATATATCCCTTGCTACATCTTAAGGGAAGTCGCTCAGTCGTGTCCAACTCTTTGCAACCCCATGGACTGTAACCCACCAGGCTCCTCCATCCATGGAATTTTCTCTGGTGCACTGAGAAGACCCAGAGGGATCGAGTGGAGAGAGAGGTGGGAGGGGGGACTGGGATGGGGAGTACATGTAAATCCATGGCTAATTCATATCAATGTATAACAAAAACTACTGTAATGATGTAAAGTAATTAGCCTCCAACTANAAAAAAAAAAAAAAAAAAAGAGTACTGGAGTGGGTTGCCATTTCCTTCTCCACGGGATCTTCCCACCCCAGGGATCAAACCCGGCTCTCCCGCCTTTCAGGCAGACGCTTTACCGTCTGAGCCACCAGGGAATCACTACGTCTTAAATACTTGATTTTGTCTCTCATTTGTAGCAGCGCTATATGTTTGTGGGTAGAGAGGAAACAAAGAGTTTGCAAACGATAATTAGGGAATCTTTCATAAAGGTTAGTAATGGGATACTTTTCCATTCTGTGTGTATTCAGGATCTACTAACCAATAACCTGCTGATAAACATGAAATTCAATTTAGTTTAGTTTCTCTTAACATTTTTGGTTATAATATACTCTAACTTATAAATACAATTATGTACATTGATCCTATTTTTAAGACAAATTTCTAAAAGTGGAATTTCTAGATAATTTTAAGTTCTGAAAAATATTTTAAGTATATACAGAGTTATCCAAATTATCAGAACACTATATAACAATACACATTTGTATCAATGGTGTGAAAGTTTGCTTATTTTCACACATCCCCTCCAATACCATGTCCCATCATTTTTAAAAACCTTGTCAGTTTGTCAAAGAATGTTGCACTTTTCAAATCTGCACTTTTTTATTTATTAAGATATTTTGTCATATTCATTTGATATTTTATCTATTGCATTCTCAGAAAAGTTTTCAATTACTAAAGCAATACAGTACTACAAAACATTTGGAATAAAAAGAATAAAAATATTACAAATTTCACCTCTCTGTAATATTATCATTTTTATTATATTGACTTTTATTGTTTTCTCCCAAGTGACTATCATTTCCCATGATTTTAACAGAGTGCATACTTTTGAATCTAATTTTTCAATTAAGCTTTGTATGATACATTTTCTCATATTGCTTCATGGCTTATTCTAACATTTTTCACTATCATATTATGTAAATATACAATTGCCTATGCAATATTTTTCCTATTGTTGTCAGATTGGTTCCTGTTTTTGATAGTTATAATGTTTGAAATAAAAATAAATAAATAACTGAAAATAAAAATAATGCATCCTTATGATTGTGTGTTCTCTTATTTTTATTTTCTTTAGGAAAAAAATTTTCAAAAACAGAGTTAATAGGTCAAAGCTAACAATATGCATTTTATCAAATTAATCTAAGATGTAATAAAAAGGCTCTAGAAATGCTTTGAAGTTCTAGTTTTGCTTCATATACACTACACTACAATGTCATATTAAAACAGATGGAAAATTATGCTTTGATGTTTAACCATAATTTTCTGATTAGTACTTATGTAGAATTTCTTCTATAACTGCAATTTTTTTTTTGCTGTTTTGTATTTCTGTTTATTTCTTCTTTCTCTTCATTTACTAGAAACTGTTTTACTAAGTGATTTGCATGCATTCCATTTTATGAGAAAAGTATTAATTCTATTATATTTGCTACAACTCCTACTTCTGTTTTATCTATAATGTATATAGTAACAAAACAAGGCTAGCACTGGGTTGTATTTCATCTAAAAATATTTTGCAGCACAGCTGAACAAAAGGCTGACTTAGATATCACCCACATAACGTGCAGCATCACATAAAGCCTCTGCCTTTGGTAAACAAGCCTGAGAAATGATGACGGGGGTCTTAGTGTCTTTCGCTCAACAACTTTGTTCCCCAACCTATAACAGAAACTGAGTTGTAATTCTCTCTTTACATTGTTAAATTCAGTCCAGTTAAAAGAGGATGACTACCTTTCCTAGAATATAGATATAGTTTTAAACATAATAAAAAGTTTCTGAAATATAGTCAGTTAAAAAACTGTTAAGAAGGTTCCACTGGGAATTGCTATTTATAAAACCAATACATTTGGCACAACATCAAGCAAGTTTCCTAAATACCTTTGCAATTTTAGTTTTGCCCTAAAATAATCTCAAAAAAGAGCAATTTAAATTATAAGGATAATTTTCCTGCAACATTTCCTCTTCTAGTCAATATTGCAAAGATTTGATCAAGTTAACTCTGAATCAAATAGAACAATTCTGTGCTGTGCTTTGTCGCTCAATTGTGTCTGACTCTTTGAGACCCCATGGACTGTAGCCAACCAGCTTCCTCTGTTCTGGTTATTAGCAATACTCATAAATGAAAAACATCATGTATACTTAGACATCTTTCTATATTTTACCATTTCTACAAACCTGAAAACTAAAACATATTGTGAGGTAATGTGTTGATGTAAGAATGATTTTTTCCTAGTGCTGTCAACAATACAGAGCACTGTGATGGGGGAAAAATATCTTTTTAGCTTTTCCAATCCTGCTAGCTGCTGTGATGTGAATAATGTTTGTATATAAATGACACTTGAGACATACTTGAGACTAAATTATTTATTACCTGTCATATTTCTTTTATAGGATAGTGTTGGTAAAACTGGAATAGTACTACTTTTATTCCATGGTTGAAGACAGAGAGTACTGGAAGGAGTAATTTCACTTAGCAGCACACAGTTGAATTTGATCCACATCAAATTCCAGCACTCTCAATGTTATTAGTTTCTACTTGACTTTACCTTTGCATTCTGGCTGCCTTCCAGTCCAACTGCCATTGGATAAACATGTTCTTTCTTCTGAACCATGAAGGATATAACCAGTATCACAGGCAAAGCGTACGGAGCTCTTGGTTCTGAAATCGCTTTCCTGTCTAGAACCATGACCAGGAGTACCTGGATCCCCACATGTACCAGTAGCATCACCTGCAATTCAGTACAGTTTAAGTTAATTTAATTCAATAACCATTTACTAAATTCATGATTTAGTCCATCAATCCTGTGGGCAATTTTTTTGTTCACGTTGTGCTTTAATATGGTAAGCTGACTGGGTAAAATCATAATTCTTATTTTCCATTTGACTCCAGTCATAAGAAAAAGCCTAAAGGAAAAAGAAAATACTTGTGGAGCACGGTGTTATTTTCCATATCAGTGATATCTGGAAACATCTAATAAGTTGAAGACATTTCATTAGTATTTCCCGAATCTAGTTCATAACCAAGGTAATGGAAAATTCATAACTCACAATTCTTGGGGCTCAAATGACAATGGGTTCATACAGTTAAAATCTAGAATGTGGATTTGGCAATTTTCATCATTTCCTCTCTGAATTAAAATCAGTTTCTGTTAGAACAGAACTGTGATGTGCTGGAAAATGTAAATATTAAAGTATAATATTTCTAGTCTAAACTTACACCATTTAATCTTTTCTATTAATGACCATTGACCAAAGATGAAAAAACTCCATACTTTTAATACAAAAGTATAAAAATGAGTTGTAAACAAAGACTAGAAACTCTGACTTAAGTTGTTCAGAAGGATTTTGCTCATGACAGGGTGTTTCTCTTGACCATAGTGTTTAGAGTTTGCTCAGTCCCTTTCTCATTTCTTAAATATGTCTAATTAAAGTTGCCACAACATTAGTATTCAATAAGACAGATACAGAAAAGACAGAGAGAGACAGAGAAACAGAGAGAGAAAGTTGAATGTATAATCATTGAAAGTGCTTTCTGTCTACCTAGATGCCAATGTTGACATTCTCTGTGCATTTGGAATCTTTTCTAATACTTTATTATCATCATATGTTGCAATATTAATAACCACATAAAGATTTAAGGACACTATTTCACTTTTAAATATATGTATACACACTTTATTCTACAACTAAGTAGTAGCTTTCTAATCCATCGTGAGTGTGTGTGACAGAGAAAACGCTTGTGGGTTTATGTGTATTATCAGTTATCTGAGTGAGTAAATTAACTGATAGTTTTCACAATTTATAGACTAAATTTGAAGTCCCAGGCAGTGACTTCACAGGATTTAACCATAATTACAAGGAGGATCTGAAATTAATGAACTATTTCATACCTTTTACCTCTAAAAGAAGAATAATGTGAAACAACTCCTAATAAGTCATCATATGATCTCCACAGAGATACAATAACATAAAAATAAATATGTAAATAAAAAGAACAGGCAGAAAAATAGGCACTAATATCTGGCAGATAGGTAAAAATAGAATGAATAGTATCAAGTAGGGTAAGTTCACAGCTCTAAAACTGAAATAACAATTATTGAAGAAAAATAGTAGCTTAAAGACCTTAGATAATATTTATAAAATGCTTACTTTGTGAAAAAATTATTAAAAACAGATTTAATGTTTACATATTCTAAGAAAATGCTGTTGGGATTATAGAGATGCAGGAGTTTTCTGTCACCTTAACAACAAATCAAATTATGATAGATAAACATCTCTCATAAAACTTGTTGGGTTAGTTTAATTTAAAATATTTAGAACTTTATTTTAAAATCATGCTATTACATAATCAATTGCTTAAAAAGTTCAGTTACAAAGAACTGAATTCTAACAGGAAATCATTGATATAATATTACCTTCTGGGGAAAATTATATTTTATATCTGCTAAAATGGAATTGCTAAAGCCTAAGTGATTTGCTATTTTAATGGATAAAAGCATTTCACAGAAAGTAGCATTCTAAAACCACTTATGTTCAATACAACACAGTTCAAAACTTACACTGTAATTTTTCATATATAAGATCAGTATTAATTTGCATTGTAAATTCTCAATTACCTTAAGAATTCTGATAAATGTAAAAATAATGTTATAGCTTCCCCCATGATATTTTTAAAAGAGAAATGTATTATTGTATCTCTTTAGATTGCTTTGTGTTCAAGCTCATTTGCTAAGTCCTGTCCAACTCTTTGTGACCCGATGGACTGTAGCCCACCTGCCTCCTCTGTCCATGAAAATTCTCCAGGCAAGAATACTAGAGTGGGTTGCCATTTCTTTCTCCAGGGAATCTTCCTGACCCAGGGATCGAACCCACATCACCTGCATCTCCTGCACTAGCAGGTGGGTTCTTTACCACTGAGCCACCTGGGAAGCCCCGATAATAATACTACTAATAAAATAGCTCCAATCATAATACTAACAATGTAATTTCCAATAAACATTGTCTAATTTTCCTAGTGGTACCTGAACAATGAGGTTGTGATCCACTCCAATGACCATTTAATTGGCAAGTCCTTGATGATTGGCCTAGAAGTGTACGCTTTCCTGTGCAGGAATAGTGAACAGTAGACCCAAAGGTATACTTCTCACCAGACAGGACTGCATTAGGAGGAACGCCAGGGTGTCCACAGTCAATCACTACAATACATAATTATTGAATATAAAATTTTTTTATATCTCCTATCGAACAACCTGTACCAACATTTTTTGAAATATTAATGAATCAGAATTATCTGCTCCACTATATACATCCTTTGAAAATCAAACATTTATATGCAAGTTGAAGTTACAGGAGTTATTCTGTTAGCCCATTCACCCTGAGTATTTTTTACAGGAACACTGTAAGTAAACTTAAATAACTGAGTCAATATGCCTCTATGTGTGGGGGTGGTGGGTGTTCGTTTATACACACATGTACATGGACTGGAATTATTCATGTGTCTAGAGAAGGATGTGAAAGATAGGGAGAGAAGTGGTATGGACTGGCTAAGTAAGATTATAGAATTCCATATAGAATTCAAAACGCCATACAGAAATTAAAAGGGAAAAACTTTGAGGGTAAAGGAGAAGGATGGAAGATGGATCTGTGGCACACGATTCAGACTATGCATATATAGTCTAAATTCTACTCCTGACCATTAATAAATAAATCATCCTGTAAAACAAAGATACTCAGAGGCTTATCAGCCAAAATACAGCTAAGTTGAGCAGAATCAGATGTTAAAACACTGAGAATTCTCTCTAAGCTAGTAGTAGCTTGGGAACTTACTATGTGTTCCCTTTTATTATTAGAGTATTAAATATGACAAGTATTAAAAAAATTAATATGATGAGTATTAAATAGCACACAAGGAGATATAAACTTAATAAAAACCCTGAGTAAATAGCATCCTACCAGGGAGTACTATAGAAAATAAGGAAAAGGTAAAAAGTATATGGGAGCTACGAAAATCTGAAGAAATTCATGTTTACAGGTCCTACAAAAGATTTTTAACTTTAATGTTGTAGCCACACAAGGATAAGTGAATTACTTAACCCACTAGACTAACTAGTCTACAAAAAGAAATCAAATACATTTTAAACAAGGGATCAACAATTGACTTAATAATCTGCATAGAATACGAAATTAGATAAGCACTATATAAGTTTTTCTTTGTTCATGAATGAGTACATAAATGATGTCATGACTATTTAAAAAATTTCAGGTACATAAAGTACCTACAAATAAAACAATCATGAAATGATTTTGTAATTAGCAATTTAGTATAACCAAAAATTACTTGCACAATGATTGTTTCTTTCCTATCATGTCCAATATTCATCAACTCTGAGAAGTAAATGTAACTGAGTCCTATCAATAAGCTGAATGCCTAGAATTTAAGTTCATTTCTCTGTTCTCACATACTTTTGATTTATTTCTGTCAAATTATTTTCTCATTATACATGTTAATTTTACGCAAAACTGCTATATATATTTTATTTATATTCTATAGATCGAAAACAACATATAACAAAATGTAGTCATATTCTGACTACCTTAAAGGTGATGTATATTAACATTTCATATATGCATGTGCCTGTATAAGATAAATATTTAAAGTCAATGAGTTTTAAGTAATACTCTAATTTTCTCAAACATTTTGCAGCCCTAGTAGCTATTTATACTGAGTCATTTTGCTTTCAATGAAATTTGAAATAGTAGTACAAGAGAAAATAAAACTATGGTTGCCTCTCATGGAATGGCAACACCACAGAGTATGAAATATATTTGCCTTTAATATTCTGTCTGTTCCATGAAGATTCAAAATCAAGGAATAATACAGAAATATTAATCATATTAATATTAATATAAATGGCACCTGGGCACTGAACTGGTAGAACACAGGAAGGGAACTTTCAAAACAATAAAAAATTACAATCAGTACACTTCCTTCAGATACACAGCTCTAAATATTTCATAAAGACAATAAATATAAATGCTGGTTTCAGGGCATTTTCTCAAGGAAGAGTTCACATTATCTACTTACTGATACATTCTGGTAAAGGTTTGTCCCATTGCCCATTTGGCTGACATATCAAAACTGAAGATCCAAATAAGAAATATCCAGGATTGCAGTCATAGAATACCACAGTGCCATAGGTGAAATTCCCATGTTCTATTTTACTTTCTCTTTTAGAATTGGCTGGAATTCCAGGATCAGAACAGTTGACCACTAAACAAATGACACATTTTTGAAATATATATTTGGAATAATATACAAATTTTCATTAGAAACTTAGTTTCAAAGGTAAATTTAATCAAATAAAACAAAGATTCAAAGAAGAAAATTAACACAAAGAACTATGGATATATGGCTGAAAATATTGGAAATAGAGCTTCTTTGCAAAACTATTTTGAACAACAGCAACTCTGTAAATATACTGAATACAGATTTATAAAGAATGATACATAAAAAATATATACCTTTCAAGCTATGGTTATAGAAAATGGAGGAAAATGATAATTGAGTTGTATTTTATCAGATTACAAAATATATTATGCCTCTTTGCAAACAGAAAAAATACAAATGATTCTCTATGTTTCCACAGAGAGAAGAATAAATAAACCCCTAACACAGCTATCATGGCAATTTAAACCTCAAACATTGTTTTTCCAAAAATATGAAGATTGTCATACTGAGTATAGTAAATCAGACAGAGGAAGATTTAGAAAATAGAAATAGAGTCACAGATGTAGAAAATGAACTTATGGTTACCAGGAGGAAGGGAAGTGATAAATTGGGAGATTGGGATTGATATAGACACATTACTATATATAAACTAGATAACTAATAAGGACCTACTGTATGAACAGGAAACTACTCAATATTGTGTAATGACCTATATGGGAAAAGAATCTAAAAAAGATATATATATACATACATATATATATATATATATATATATATATTTATACATAATACACCTGAATATAACATAACATTGTAAATCAACTATACTCCAACAAAAATTTACAATATAACATTGTAAATTAACTATACTCCACAATGTTTAAAAATGTGAAGAAATAAACTGAGAAGATAGGTTCCATTAATTATGAAGCCAACTGCAAGTAAAAATGAGCTAAATGACTTTATATACAGCTATAGGACAGGTACAAGATAACACAGTTAAGCAACTGAAATAACGTTTACCAGTTTTATAACTTTTAAAAAAGTTAAAAGATAAGAAAAAGGAAAGCATTAGTAATGAGATGACATCAATATTAAATACTTGTTTTATTAATTTTCTATTGTTTTGCCCAAATTGTCTCAAATATTACCATCTGTGTTTACACAGACACATTATTACCATGCTCTCAGCTGCAATGCAGTTAGATTTTTACCTTTGCACACTGGTGGAGGATGGCTCCACTGTCTGTTGGCCTGGCACTGGGCCTTTGTTGGCCCTTGCATGAGATACCCAACATTGCAGGAGAATGTTACCACATCATTAAAATTGAATCCATTTCCACTTGTTCTTCCATAAATTGGACTACCAGGGTGACCACAGCTCACAGCTAATAGCAACAGGGTCGGGTTGGGAGGGACACAGAATAGAATAATTGGTTATCAATTATTAAATGAAAATGACAATCACCTCAAAGAAAGTAGAAAGAAGGCCACTTTTGTAGGAAAAAATACTTAATTTTACTAATGCAAAGGAACAGTTTAGAAAGCCAAAATGGTCCAATACAGTAGAATCATTACAATATTATGTTAGTAAGTAGACAATTAATTATAATTCTGGTAATGGTGTGCAAGTGGTGCATAGATATTGAAAGTTCCATGGTAACATTTCATTCTATTTCTTTTTAGGGAAGAATACTGAAATTCAAAGACATTTGGTAATGATTGAAGTTCACATAACTAGTTAACGGCAAAAAGGAATGAAACTGAATCAACTTTCCTTTTCTAGTTGAGTTTAAGAATTGAAGATAAATGAAGGCAATTTTTTGTATTCAATTTTGAAATCATTTCTTATATTGTTTATGCAATCATTTTTTATGATTAATGAATAAACAAAAGTGTGCTTGAAGAATAGCTTAATATGACTGCAATAAAAATGATGTCTTATGCTGTATTTTAATTCTTAACATACTGAGATACCAATATTAATATTCCCTAAGCCAAACAACCTTATTGGTATATTTTCTTCACTATTGATATTTGATAACCTAGCAGTTTTGTTTGGAAATAATGACATTAATTAGATGAACTATTTAAATCATTTAATATTAAAGCTCTTTTTTTAGAATTTATTTAGTGCTTGGTTTTCCCAAACACATTGTATTTCTATGAACTGTTTTATTGCATTATCTCACTAATTAATCACAACAACTCCAGTAATATTGCTTCATAATTGGGCATAGTGAAAGACGACAGTCACTTTTAATACTTTCGAAATGACCCAACAGCAATTAATTTTCTGCTGTATTGTTAATGTCAACCTTTCATTTGAAAATGTAACTGCATCTTATTCCTGTTTAAAATTATTAATAGAGAAACTTGTGCTTGTTTTACCTCAGGGGCCAGTTTTCATTTATAGGCTCAATTATTCAGAAAGAAAAGTAGTGGTGTTAGTTGGCTATGCTTTTATATAATGAGGGGATTCCCCAGTGGCTCAGCCAGTAAAGAGTCTGCCTGCAATTCAGGAGACCCAGGTTTGATTCCTGGGTTGGGAAGATTCCCCTGGAGAAGCAAATGACAACCCACTCCAGTATTCTTGCCTGGAAAATCCCATGGATGGAGGAGCCTGACAGTCTACTGTCCATGGGGTTGCAAAGAGTCGAACATGACTGAGTGACTTCATTTTCTTTATATAATGAAAGGCAAAAAAACCTGGTATAGATCCAGCATAATATTTCTGTCTTTAAATCATTAGATGGTCTGTTATCACATGCACACATACCACAGAGAAGCAATTTTGATAACTGTATGCTATATTATCTTATTAAATCTTAACACACTAATGTATTTTCCATTAAACTAGAACTCCAATAAAATCCTCGTGATTGGATATGGGGTTGACAATGATAGAATTTATAAATATGTGAACTCATACTAAAAGCCCATGAATTATTTATCTGAAGCCTCCAAAATCTTTATCATTTAATCCTATAGTGTTAAAACTACAACATGTTTACAGTGTTTATCCTCATTTCCTAACACTGATTTTAATACAAATATCAGTGATTGCTGGTGGAAATTATCAGGAGAAAAAATAAGAAATATATGGATAATTTACTTTTCAATCCAAAATAGGATAAATTGTGATGTGAAATAACTGTGTAATTCTGAGTAATGAGTATTCAGTGAGAGAAAGAAAAAGTACTAGAATATTTTAAAATTCATTTTATCCTTCATGTGTAAATTCACATCTAAATTAACTTAAAAGATTAGATGAATATTTGCTGAACTAGTGAGATCTTTTATTGAAACAATTACAAAATTGTTCGAAATCCAAAAGAGTAATGACAGACATTTTAATATGTCTTCCACTTTCATAGTGAATGTTTTTTATACTTCTGAACACACCCTACTTTAAAGACTAGCATGTCAGTATAAAAAATGCATTGTGAGAACTTAGTTCTTTAAATACAGATGCATACACGTGTGTGTGTCTTTCTATATAATCATTTACCTTACCTAAGAAAAAAATATTGGTAATTACATGAGAACCAAACAGAGGTCTTTGACTACCACTGCTATGCTTACTTACGCACACAGGCTGGAAGTTGACCAGACCAATTGTGATCTTGTTGACATATTCGTACTGAAGAACCAATCAAGCGAAAACCAGGATTACACTGATAAACAACTGTGTCTCTGTATCCATAGTTTTCTCCAATGACTTGACCATTCACAATAAGCTCCGGAATTCCACAGTGACCCGCTGAAATGGGTCAAAATAATATTTTTTAATATTATGATCTAGTTTTATGATTTATGTATTTATATACAATATAGAAATATCCTACTTCATGACAGAAGCAATATTTCATTTTAGGAAGAAGAAAATAAAAAAAAAGAAAAGCCAAAATAAATACATAGAAGGCTATATTAAGGACATTTATAGAAATCAAGGAAATAGAAAAATAACAGAGACCATTACCTGAACTAAAAATTCTTTCTTTTAAAACAAGAGAGAAGGCTCAAATAAAATCAGAAATAAAAAATGAGAAATTAAAACTATTAGCACAAAAATACAAAGAATTATGAGACTACTAGGAGCAATTATATACCTACAAATTGGAAAAATTAGAAGAGATGTATAAATCTTTAGAAATTTACAATCTTTCAAGACTGATTCATGAGGAAATAGAAAATCTGAATCAACCAATCACAGTACACAGATAGTAACAGTAGTCAAAACCTCTCAACAGACAAAAATCCAGGACCAGATGACTTCACTGGTGAATTTTTAATAGTTATTCTTCTAAAATTCTTCCAAAAAATTATATGGCAGAGAAATCTTTGAAGCTTATTTTATGAGGCCAGCATTACCCTGACACCAAAACCAGACAAGGACACCACTTAAAGGAAACCTAAAGGTCAATATCCCTAACAAATATAGATGTAAAAAAATCCTCAACAAAATATTGGCATACTGAATTCAACAATACTTTAAACAAATCATACACCAAGATCAAATGTGATCCAACCACTATACATTGGGCTTCCCTAATAGCTCAGATGGTCAAGCATCTGCCTGGAATGCAGGAGACCTGGGTTTGGAAATCCTAACAACAGTAATCACACAAGGAAAAGAAATAAAACACATCCAAACTGGAAGGGAAGAAATAAAACTATCACTATTTGCATATATTATATATAGAAAATTCTAAAGATGCTACCAAAAACTATTAGTAGTAATAAACAAATTTAGTATAGTTGCAGTATACAAAATTAAATGCCATGAAACAAGTAAGTCCGTGTGCCACAGCTAATAAGCCTGTGCTCTAGAACCTAGGAGCGACAATTACTGAGCCCACATGTGTCAAATACTGAAGCTCATGCGCTCTAGGGCCCCTACTCCACAACAACAGAAGCCACCACACAGTGAGAAGCCCTAGCATCACAACTAGTTCTTGCTCAGTGCAACCAGAGAAAAGCCTGTCCAGCAATGAAGACCCTACATGGCCAAAAACAAATAAAATTATATATAAAGAAGGATTCAAAACCGTGAAACTCCTAGAAGAAAACATAAGCAGCATGTTGTCTGACATCATTCTAAACAATGTATTTTTTTATATCTGTCTTCTTTGACAAAGACAACAAGAAAAATAAACAAATAAAAAAGCTTCTACATAGTGAAGGAAAACTGTCATCAAAACAATCAAAACAATTAGGCAATTGGCAGAATTGGAGAAGATATATGAAAATGATATAAATGTAAAAGAGCTACTTTCCAAAATACATAAAGAGCTCACATAGCTCAATAACAACAGTAAAAAACAAGAAACAAACAAAACAAAACAAAACAAAAGCAGTTGAATTAAAAAAAATAAAACAGGCAGAGGATCTCAGCAAAAATTTTTCCAAAGACATACAATTTGCCAACAGGCAGATGAAAAGATGCTTGATATCACTAAACATCAGGGAAATGCAAATCAAAACCACAAAGAGGTATCACCTTATATCTGTCAGGATGGTCATTATCAGAAAGACAACTAGAAGACTAAGCGTTGGTGAGGAGGTAGAGAAAAGTAACACAGTGCACTCTTGGTGAGAATGTAACCTGGTCAAGCCACTATGGAAAACAGTATGGGGATTACTCAAAAAATTAAAAATAGAGCTTCCATGTGATCTAGTAATCCCACTACTGGGTATCTTCACAGGGAAAAAATAAACACTAACTCAATAAGATTTATGCACTTTCATGTTCATTGTAGCATTGTTTACAGTAGCCAAAATATGAAAACCACTAAGTGTCCCTCAATAGATGAATGGATAAAGAAACTATGAAATACACACACTCATCTCACACATGCGTAATGGTATACTACTGAGCTATAAAAACTACAGAATCTTGCCATTTGGAATAACATGGAGGAACCTTGAGGGTATTAGACTAAGTGAAATAAGTCAGTAGAGAAAGACAAATACTACAATGACTTCACTTATATTTGGAATCCAAAAAACAAAACAGAAAAACAAAAAGAACAAAAACAGAGAAGAGATTAGAGGTTGCCAGAGGAGAGAAGAGTTAAGAGGAAAGTGAAATGACTGAAGGGGATTGAGAAGCACAAACCTCCAGTTATAAAATAAGTAAGTCATGAGGATACAATGTACAGCTTGGGGAATATATTCAATTATTTTGTGTTAACTTTGTAAAGTGACAGACAGTAACTAGACTTACTGTATTAACCATTTTGCAATGTATACAAATATTGAATAAATATGTTGTAAGATAAACTAACATAATATTGTATGTCAGTTATCCCTCAATTTAAAAAAACAAAAAATAGAAGGAAAATGTAGACCAGGCCAGGTGAAATATCTCACTGAAAGACAATCAAGGTAGTCAAAGGTTAGAAACTTAAAAAAAAAGTCAATAAAATTGTTAAACTCCTAGCTAATCCTATAAACAAACAAAAAAGATATTAAAATTACCAATGACAGGAATGAATGAAGTAACATTACTATAAAGCTTACAGATGTTAAAAGGATCAGGGAATATTAAGAACTGCTTTATGACAACATATTTAACAATTCAGAACAAAAGGACAAATTTTTTGAAGATGTATCATCCAAAAACTAACACAATAAAATATGAATAGTCCTTTATCTATTAAAGTATTTGAATTCTTAAATAATAACTCCCTCTGCAAAAAAAATGCACTTAGATTTATATTTTTTCACTGGTAAATTCAATCAAATATTTAAGCAAGGAAACAAATACCAGTCTTATACAAACTCAGAAAACAGAAGAAAAAGAATCACTTCCTAATTTGTTTAATGAAGTAATCATAATCCCAATATTAAACCTGTAAAAGACACAGAAAAAATGTTCCTCATGAATACAGATGCAGGACTTTAAAAAAAAAAAATTTTAGAAAAAAAAATAATACATCATGATTATCTGGGTTTTATCCAGAAATGACTTGTTGGTTTAAGATGAAATATTGACCACTGTCATCTACCATACTTAGGAATGTACACACATTTTCTGAACCTTATAAATACACCTAAGAAAAAAGTTCATATCATATCCACTGATGAAATATTAAATCCTTTCCTCCTGATACAGGGACCAAGAAAAGGATGATTACTCTCACTAGCTCTATTTAACATTTTTTGGTGGGTCCTATCTAATATATATACTAATATAAAGGAAGAAAGGAAAAACATAAAGGAGAAAACAAAAAAAGTAAAACTCATATTATGCTCATGATATACACATAGACAAACCTGTTTTAAGAAAATCCTAAAACTAATAGGTGAATGAAAGCTGCAGGATACTAGATAAATATTTTAAATAATTTTTATAGTAGAAAACAATTAGAAATGCAATTAGTAATGAACAATTTCACTATAACCGTGTAAACGCACAAAAAATACTGCCAAATAAATTTAACAATAGGTATACACGATCTCTGTGATAAAAATTTCCTATTGCAAAAAAAAAAAAAAAGAGAGAGACCTTAATAAGTGAATAAATATACTAACTTCACCATGTTCAGGAAGTAGAAGACTTAACATTGTTAGATGCCAATTCTCCCCAATAATTTATACATTGAATTCAATTGTGATCATAATCTTACCAGGCATTTTAAAAATAAAAAAAAATAAGCTAATTCTAAAACACATATGAACACACAAAGGACATGAGTATCCAAAGTGATCTTGAAAAATAATAACAAATTTAGAGTGGCAGATATCTTTCTGGAAAACAAACAAGCAAAGAAAAACCTTCAACCTTACTTCATTATATATACAACAACAAATTAAAAATAAGTTGTAGGTATAAAGTAATATCAAAAAATGCAAAATTTCTAGGAAAATATATGAAATGAAATCTTTGTGACTTATGATTGAACAAAGGTTTCCTAAATTAGAGACAGAAAGTAATAACTAGAAATAAAAAAAAAAGAGAGAAAATAGATTTTACAAAAATTGAAAACTTCTGCTCATTAAGACACCACTAAGAGTGAATAGGCAAGTAATAGGCGGGGAGAAACTATTTTTAAAAAATCAATATACAAAGAATTCCTATAACTCATAATTAAAGGCAATTTATAAGATACTTCAGAATTTCACAAAGGAAAATTTATGAATGACCAATAAGCCCAGGAAACTACTTGATCAGTAGTCATCAAGATAGTGCAAGTTAAATCTTGCAAGATACCTTTATGAATGGCAAAAAAATGAATAAAGTTTAAAAATTGGCTATACCATATGCTAGAGAAAACGTGAGACAATTAGAACTCTTCTAGGAATTTTAACCCAAAGTATCCACCAGAAATGAATAGATGTGTCCACAAAAAGACTTTTATACAAATGTCCATAGCAGCTTTATTCTAATCACCTCATAGCAGCTTATATAATCACCCCAAACTGGATAGAGCCCATATGACCATCAGTAGGGGAATGGTCAAGACAAGGAGATTCTACTTAGAGATTAAAAAAATTACTGATACACAGAAAAACATGAATGAAACAGAATAAAAGAAACCTTACAGAAAAAGAGTACAAAACTTAGGATTCTATTCACATGAATTCCTAGAACAGGAAAAACTAGCATATGGTGAAAAAAACAGAACAGCTATTATCTCAGGGTGCAGAGGAGGAGAGCTGCAGATTGACTATGAAGGGTCACAGGGAAGTTTTCTGAGCTAATGGTGATGTTCTATAACTATTGAGTAGTTTTAATTATATAGGAGTGCACAGTTGTCAAAATGCAACAAGTGTATTTATGGCACTGTATGTACATTTGCCACCATTAAAAAAAAAAAGAACCATGAGCAAATATTGAACTCTAGCTAGCTTATATGTATATAGAAATGTTTACAAATGAAGTGTACTGCATTTGGCAATTTCAAAATGCATCAAAAATATAATGAATTTATAAGTTAATATAGGCATGAAAGGATGAATAGATATGTAATATGCAAATACAAGTGTTTAACTATACATTCTAGATAGAGGCATGTGGGTGTTCATCATCAAGTCTCTCAACTGAAAAATTTATAGTAAAATGCTGGGAGTTTGAGAATAAATCACTATATTTAAACAATCATAAGCACATTCTAGGACAATTTTAAGCCAGAAGTATCTGGGGCTATAAGGACAAGTTGTTTGCAACCATAAGAAGAATGACTAGGCTATGTGCATTATTCAAATTAATTCAAAGTATAAGATTCTAGGATCTGCTTATTTGGCAATAGCATATTCCTCCTACTGACACACTTTTGAATTTATATTAGATGTCAACACTATATCCTATGCAAGAATGTTTTCTTTATAGACTGAGAGTCAATGTTTGTTTATAAACATCCCTCTTACACCTTATCTTTCCAGAAAACAGACTAAGGATTCTAAGTAGGTGAATAAAAACCACCATCTATATACAAAATCCAATAAATAACATATAGCATACAATAGCAGTTCATCAGAGCAAAGAGTTATCAAATAGAGTATTTTAAAGTTCAGTTCAGTTCAGTCGCTCAGTCGTGTCTGACTCTGCAACCCCATGAATCACAGCATCCCAGGCCTCCTTGTCCATCACCAGCTCCCGGAGTTTACTCAAACTCATGCCCATCAAGTCGGTGATGCCATCCAGCCATCTCATCCTCTGTCTCCCCCTTCCTGTCCTGCCCCCAATCCCTCCCAGCATCAGGGTCTTTTCCAAAAAGTCAACTCTTCGCATCAGGTGGCCAAAGTACTGGAGTTTCAGCTTCAGCATCAGTCCTTCCAATGAACACCCAGGACTGATCTCCTTTAGGATGGACTGGTTGGATCTCCTTGCAGTCCAAGGGACTCTCAAGAGTCTTCTCCAACA